TCTGTGATTTCCGAATTATTTTTCATAAAACGCTTCAGGTTTTCAGGCAGTAACTCGTCCAGTGCGACTGCACTGTCTTGAATCTCTTGGTCCGGAACCTCGAGAGTTCGCGTTCCTGTAACTGCTCTGATGGCATCTCTGATCCCGAAATTCTCTGTAACGGGTTCCCGATGCTTAGGGACTGTTTTCCCCTCGACCTCAAGGTTAGTTAGTTCCTGATTCCCTGCGACCTCAGTGGCAGGTTCCTGGGTCTCCGGACTCGAAACCTCCGGGACCTCTAACTTGAATTCTTTCTGAATGCCCGTGACCTCGGTGACGGGTTCTTGGGTCTCCGGGATCCGAATCCCCGGGACCTCGACCTGACCTTTTGAACTTCTTTTGTTCTCGTTGCGATTTAGCAACCCAAAATTAAAAATCTTTTCACGATCGGCTAATGCCCTTATCATACTATCTTGTCTCCCTTCCTTCCCACCTTGGGAGGAACCTGCTTCCAACAACTGTAACCCCTCGGGGACTGCGGGATCTGTACCATCAATTCCCCTCACCGTTTCCGGGGACTGTTCCGCCAGCAGAACAGCGTCGGAAACTAAGTTCTTGGATGCGGCCAAGCCTGGGCTCGCCTTCTTTCTGAGCTCGCCCGGTAACACGGGTTTCTCAGACGGGTTCTCCAGTATTATGTCTACGGCAACTCGTTTGCCTGTCTTCGGGCCATCTCGTGGGTCGGATGGACCGTGTAGAAGGTAAATGGGATTATTAAAAACCGGTTTCCCATTCCCTTCATCCTGACCATTATCCGGGTTTGCAAGGCCCGGAAAACAGTAATAAAGCAAGGGCAAGACTACAGAATCATTACGCAGTGTTTTAGAATGAAAATCAATTTGGATCCGTGTTTGATTAAGGTAATCAATTCCGATTAATACCTCAAATGGAGCTTGTGTTATAACAAATAATTCACATGGCTGTACCTGGCCCAAAACTTCAAGATAGACATCAATCTTTTTATTTAATTTACGTTGAGATGTTATTGTGGAAACGTATGGACCATCAGTATCAATTATTTCCAGACGATTAAGTTTCGCAAAACTTTCTGTAATCAATGAAATCCCTGAGCCGGTATCGAGAATCGCCCGGCACGATATATTATTCACACGAGCCCGACAGATAATTGGACCTACTTCACTAATTTTAAAAGGATTTATGATGAAATGGTCTGTGCGTGCGTCGGTACCACACACAGACCTATTCAGTTTAAAGAAGCGGGTGCGTCCATCGGGAGCTGTTCCCATGGATCTGCCGGTAGGTTACTGTGATAGAAAACTCGTGTCGGATTTGCAGCTGTACCGGCTGCAGGAAAAACTGGAGGGACGGGCGGTCGATTGGGTTGCGGACCACTTGTAAGCATGGGGACGGGCTGTGCTGGACCCATCGCGGGATAATTATTCCCTGGAGGCGGCGGTCCGTAAGAACCGCGAGCTACGGCGTTAGCGTAAGTGCCTCGCCCTCGACCGCGACTGGTCGATCCCCTATAATTTCGACTTTGTGGATTCTGCCAGCAAACACCCTTGAGGTGGCCAGCCTTTCCACAATAATGACATTTACGAGACTCGCGTTGTCGAGTATCACGACGTTGACCACCTGCTTCGAGTTGGCTGAGCCTGGCGCGAATGGCTTCCATCTCAGCTGGATCCGGTACCGCAACGTCGACACGTACGGCTTTAGCTTGGGTATCGGCTGGGGGCGGAAAGTTTCCATAGGACTGCGTTGTCCGTTTAACTGTTTCAGTTTCAACCCGGGGTGGTCGTCGTGAAGGACCGGCACCGGCTTCAGGAAAAGCGATACGTTGACGGTATTTGTAAGCGCGAGAAATGTTTTTCAACCTTTCGAGGAAGTCTGTTGTGTCTTCGATCTCATCGTAGACCGACACGATCTCGGCTTTTAAGCCATCAGGTAAGCCTTGGAATAAATGTAAGATTAAGTCATCCGGTGAGGCGTTTGGATTACGCGTTGTCACGATGCGCGTGATCCGTGTCACATATGCCAAAGGGTCGTCAGTTGAAAGCATTTTCAAGCTGGTTCCCTCCAGATCAAAATCTAAGGGATTTTTCCCGAAGGTATCTTTGAGAGCCTTCTTCAAGTCGTCCCAGCTGTTGTCATCGGGACGATTGACGAACCAGTGAAGGGCGTCGCCCCTGAGACAGGCTCTCAGGCAGCTAAGTAACTGTCCTGACTTCCAGCCATAAAGAGTCCCTTGAGACTCGTATTCGAGAATGAAATTATCTACGTCTTCAAGAAAAGTACCAGTAAACTTGGGCAGATCCCTGATATTGGGAGCACGGAGCTGAAAACCTTTTCCTGCAACCGGGTTAGCGTCATCCTCGTCGCCTGGTGCCATGATATAGTCGGGCTTAGTAATGGCCCGTCGAGGCTTACGATTCTGCTTACGTACAAGAGAAAGCCGACCTTTCACTTCTGTCCAGCTCAGGTTCTGGGTCACTGCGGAGCGAAGGAGGTACCCCGTGGGAGACGACGATAGTGACTCAATGGTCTGACTAAAGGGCAAGACCGGATGAAAACTCACTTCATGCGGTTCGTAGAAAGCCGTGTTATGTAAGTCTGGCTGATCAATGTTGGGCGGGTCGGAGTCCGATAATGACTCAACGACGTTCCCAGGAAGGTTCGGTTCAGGCTTCTTACTACGGTGCTCTCGCCAGAATTTATCGACCGTGGAATCGGAGCTATACTCCGGATCCAGGTTGAATGAATCTGATTACTGAAAAGTTATCACGCGGCAAGGACGAATTATTATGAGAAAAGTAGCAAAACAGGAAGTGGGATTGGTGCCATGATTGTCCAACAGGAACTTATCGGACAGATCACCGAAAGAAGAATTAACAAAAACAGGGCACAGCTGACTTATCAGCTTTTGTCATCCGGTTTCGCACAACAACAGCCAACAATCTTGGTAAGAATTTTTACCAAGTAAACATGCCGGGATGATTCATCCCGTGGTAGCGATTCACGAATTTTTACATAGAATGGATCGCGTTTGGGGAAAAGAAAGGTCATTTGGTAACACACATGTTGTATATTATATGCAGTATAATATTTATACTGCCTAAAAGGAGGCGTACAAAAATAAAATGTAGCTCTATCGAGCATAACCGTGAAATATGAATATATACTTTGTTTTTAGAAATATGACAGAAACAATCAAAGGAAATAAAAAGATACACAAATTGTCAAAACATGAAACTACATAAAAAGAGAAAAGAGGAAATATCACAATCGGTGCGAATTGTGTCGGTGCGCATTTACCAATAACATGTTACAGCAAGGACACACTGTTTCTGTTATATATTGGAAAACATAAAGGTCACCCAGGTTTTGTCGAGGTGCTACTAAATGTGCTCTCCTGGTTTCAAGAATGATGCAATGAACAAAAAGAACCATTGAATTAGTTCGGAAAATTTCAGCACAAAAATCTCCAAATTCCTCAACATCATCACTTTCTTTCGTCTCAAAAGCACTGTGACTTATTCGGCCCGCATCATCACGTGAAACAATTTTATATGAAAAGAACATTTCATATCATAACATTGCAAAGAATAAAATAAAACCATAAAATAGAACTATTCGAATGCAAAAGGAAATTCATACATAAGAATGTTTACAACACGGGCACGTTGCTTCCGCAATATATTTTTGGATATACACATCCGTACTATCTTCACGCACATTAATACCGCTTCCAATAGGATCGAATGTCAAAAGTCAATCAGTAATGCTTCGGGATTATTTTTGAAAAAGGTATCACAAAAGGAGTCAAAAGCTTTTTCGTCAGCGTGGTTTGTATCCCGGAAGAAGCGCCAGTAGATCACGCCATCCGATTTACGGCGACAAAGAACTTTAAAGTCGAATAACATTTCAAAGAGGCATGGGAGAAAGCACAGGGATGCAAAACAATTATATTCATGAAACGAGAATGCACGAAATAAAGGCGATGAGAAAATATTATAAGAAAGAAATTAGTGATTTATTTTATTCGGGAATTTGCAACACGTTGCGTGCACCACCGAGTGATACCAAACGATCAACAATATTCTGTACAAGTGAATCCGTAATTGGCATTTTAAACAAAATCCCTGTATCTTCAGTATCCAGATTTTTCCACTCGACATATAATACAGTCGAATACTGAGTAAAGAAAGTATTACAGAAGGCAGCTAATTCATTGTTATTTTGGAAAGAATAGGTCTGTGACAACTTATGTATATACACCTGATTATTAATTCGTTGAACAAGTGATAATTCGTATACCATATTTAATTTTTTTTCAAAAACGGCCAATGAAATATTTACGAAGGAAATTAATTGGGTGCAAACATTTCAACAATAGTAAAAGGCACACAGCCGTATGACGGCATATAAGACACTTTAAAGTGATGCACTTATATAATGCACGTGCACTGTCAAACGGCTGACAACCGTCGCACGTTACGTTATTGATTATTAAATATCACGACTCACGTTTCCGGTATGTTGCCGGTCCATGCTGCGGCAATGCGCAAAGAAAATGCCGGATGGCCAGGTAATGGCACGGCGATGCCGGAAATAACGGTCGCTGATTAACACAGCATACGGCAGGAGAATAGGCGAGGTAACAAAAGGAGTGACGGCTGTAGTCACCAACAGGTAGTTTCTCAGTCAATGAGGACCATTTGTTACGTAAATAATTGGCAGAGCGAAATAAACGAAAGGTCACGGCGGTAGAATACCGGCCGGTTTTATAGCCTAATATGCTGTATTTAGTAAAACACGCATAAGCGGCAACGAACGATACGGCAAATGCGAGTCAGAAATTGTTGTTCAAGGAAATTAGACTGCACGGCTGTAACTGTGTCAGAAAAAATGGAAAAGCCGCGGTATAAAACGGCAACAAGTGGAACGGTCTATCAGATAATAACATTCATGGGCATATCGCCCTTATGATCAGTAGAAGGCTAGCGCAGGCGAATATCGCTCAAAGAATCTTTACGTGACAGTGGGATCACGCATTATCACTTATTAAGAAGGTAGCAATAGTCTTACCAGTGTCGAAGTACAATAATGTGTCCTGCACTTGTTCCATGTAATTATACAAGTGAAGGCGTGCCCAGCATGTCGTAAAACTGTAAACAAAAAAATTCACCAATGAATCACCGGTGTGCCCCAAAGGCAGTCGAAACTTACGCAGCTAAGACTACGTTGGCGTGTGGATTCTGCTCGACGAACAGGCTTTCCCTGGTGTAGGAGAGCTGGAGCACATCGTCACTAAACAGGTCCCACGAGTGAATGTGATACTCCCCAGAAAGAAGCATCCGGTAAAATTCCTCCGGCGAAGAAATGTACTTGGTGTTTGGTTTGTTGTCCTGCATGCCCAAACGGCCCCAGAAGCTGCAAACAAAGGCGGACATTGTGCGCTTTTTGAAACCAGAATTTCAAAAAAATACCTATTCAAACAGAGCTTTGCCAGTGCTCTGATTCCCGGGTTGGACTCTATTTTGTCGCGCCCCAGCTCAATTCCTTCGTGTTCGTGGAAATCCCGCAGATACTGTTCTTTTTCCAGGTCGGTAGCGACATCCGCTGGCCATCCACTCGCTTCGGTTTTGATCTTGAGAAAACGATCAATGTAGTCCGCAAACAATCGCTCTTCGGACTGTTCAAAATGCCAAACTTCAAATATCTTTTTCACAACATAACCGCGGTCAATCGCAGCGTGTAACTCCGGCGAACCTAAAAAAAGTTCCCGTTGGGGTTTATGTGGGGGTTTTACAAATGCGTAATTCATTCAATACTTACACCAAGTTCCTACGAGCACCCGTTCATCGTTCGTGTGTGTACATGGTGCGTTCTGCTTGTCCTGTGCACAACTGCGGCACAAAGGAAAGACCAGCTTTCCGTTGGATCGGTATGGCAAAACGGGAAGATTCAGATCTGCTGGTGGCAGTACTTCACACTGAATTATCCCGAAGTAGTTGGTGATTGCGTCGAAGTCCTTGATGATGATGGTCGGATGTCCGATGGGGTAGCGCTTGTTCTTATTAACGTAAAGGTACTCGCTGCAAACATCAAAGTAGCGAATCTTTTCGTTGTCCTTCACGCGATGGAAAAGCTTGGTGGCATTAGTGCGACCACCATAAAACGCATCCCGGGGATTAATGGGCTGTCGTACAGTGATTTCTTCAACGAAGGCTGCGAAAAACGGCTCTTGTTTCACAAGACTGTCGAACTCGTGCTCCCAAATCACGCAAAGTTCATGGCCCATGCTTCGAATACGAGCATCCCGTTGGACGGTTTCTTCGTAAATCTTGCTCATGGGCAGGTTTCGGAAAGGATGAATAGTGTCCGGTGCAGTGCATTCAGGGCATCCATGGTACCAGCAACCGTGAAATTCAAAAACTTTGCCGGTAGAGGCGGAGTATCCATCCACAAAATACTGTCCAACTTTGAACTCTGCTCCTGAGGCTCTGGTCTGGATGGGACGATTCTCTTCTAACTCCATCCACTGCAGCCATTTCAGTGCCTTGACGGACTGGTTTCTGTTGGTGTGGTATCCTTGTGGTGGAATCAAACCGATCTGGTTGGCCTTGAGGATATTCGTCCGCCAATACAAACCACATAATCCAGCAATGGTTATGGACGACTAGAATGGACAAATTCCGCTGCTGATGCCCAAAAACAGACTGCGGAACTGGAGGCAACACTTACGAAGGACAGTTACATCGTTGCTGCAGTAGCTGACAAACTCTTTGCGAAATGTCGAAGGTGTTGTCTTTGGCTGCTACTTCCTCTTCGTACCACTTCTTAAAAGAGTCTCTGTCCTTCTTGTTCATAAACCGGTACCCGTACTCCTCCATGGAAGGGAACTCCGTCACTTGGTCCCAGTTTTCAGGGCGATTAAAACGATGTGGGAAAAGGCCTTTAGCGGTATCTGCAATACCGAACGTGGCGGGCCATTTGACAGGCTTTGCGGGTTGAAATTGATGCTGTCTCGAAAGCGAATGTTCAGCTGCGGTACATCTAGTTGCATTATCTTTCCACCATTCATAATCACTCGGGCAACAATACCGTTGGTCAGAAGCCAGTTCATGATGAAATATCCGTCGAATGCCTTCAAATTAACAGCACCTTGTATTAAGAAAACAACCAGCCATCGAAGAACTTACTTTAAAATTATGGGCAATAATGTAATGGCCACGGTGGTCGTCGCTGAAGAGAAATCGGCACAGCTGATCAGTGATGTCGCAAAATCGGTCCATTCTCTCCAGGAAATATCCACTCTTCGCCTTCGTCATTTTGCACCACCTACAGCGGCAACAAAAACAACAGACTGTCGGTGGGGGTTTTGGTGGGGGTAGCAAAATTACATCTGTTATCTCACTGTCTAGTTTCTGTGAACATATTAATCAAAAAATACCAGTGTTTCAAAGTATAAACGAATGCTCAACCAGTTACAGTATTAATACATTTTATTAAAAATTGAAAATTCTTACTATCGGGCGTTGCACTTACTGCAAGATTTGGGTACAGCCGCCCGTCGTCAGCAACGTAAGTCTCGAAGTCGAAAAATAAGAACTGAGCATCGGAGTACTGCATCTTCTGGAACGGGCCCAATTTTTGTGGCTTCATATAACAGCGATGGTCCCCTACGACGTGTTCTCGACAGGTCTTGCAGAACCTTTCTCCACACCGGTGACTCGTTCTTGGTTTTCGTCTCATCAGAGAATAAACAGATCCGCACTGGTCGCACATTTTCACGGTACTGCAGATGCTTCGCCGATTGCGAAATAACATCTCTGTGCTGGGGCCCAACTTATGGTGGTCAAAACAAGACTGTCCATAAAACTTCCGCTTACAATCAGGGCAGGAGAGCATATTGGAAGTGTCCATTGGACAACTCGGACGCAAACACTGATTGCACTGCCCCGTGCAACGATGGCTTCTTCGGTCGTTGTAGCCTTTGTTGCATTCAAAACACCAATAGGCACGATTGAAGAATGCCGTCACTGAGGTCAATACGTCAAAGTGCCGATTATGGAACAACAGACAAATATGTTTTTTCTCGTGTTTTCCACTGTAGACGATACTATTAGCTTGCATGGTGCTGACAACCACAATTTGATATCCAGGGAGTACCTTTTCGAAGGCCGCAACGTCGGCGAGCGTGTATTCTCGGATGGGTAAGCCAGCATCTTCAATGAGTTCCTTGGACAGTGCGAGAATTTCCCTCTTTCCTTTGGCAATGTGTTTGGCATAATCCTCCCGACCATCCGCAAAGGCTTTACCGATTAAAAACGCGCGGGCCATACAAATCTCGTCGTCGTTGTTGACCATAATGACCGACCTCATCTTCTTCAGCTTCTGATACAATAACATTGGGACATCCCGGACACATCGACCAGAGGGAATCTCAGTATGTTCCACAGAGACCGCAAACGAATCACCAATGACCAACTCTTGGTGGGAGTTGAGCACCTTTGATATTTCTGACATCCAACGCTGCACGGTTAACTGCGAACGCAAGGTCGGAGGCGTCCAGATAGGAAAGGACAAATGCGCTGACTCCACCGACACACGAACATACTGGTGATCAGCTATTCCCTCCAGAACAGTAGCGAGAATATAATCCAGCACGGCCACTATTACAGCAGGCGCTTCAATAAAACTGATAGCGTCCAAATCATGCACACTAACCATAAACCATTTGAAACGCATGTTGTGAGTCTTAGAAAAACGGTGCCCTTTGGCCTCGACAGCAACATGTTCGGCCACACGAAAATCCTCAGGGATACTACCACCACCTCCTGCCTGAACGTCATCAAAAACCCAGTCATTCATGCCTGCCAACTCGGCAGCATCGACCATGTCTTCATGCGACAAAACCATTGCCTCATCTTCCAAGACCCAGTCGTCTAAGGCCGCTAAAGCCGCCGCATCAACAAGGTCATCCTCCGATAAGTCGTAATCCATACTTTTTTTAAGAGTAAAAAATCCGACAGAACGAAATTATAAATAATGAACTTGCACAAAGGCAGACTTTTGAGAGTCGAAAAATTACAAGAGCGAAATTTCAACTGTCAGAATCTAACTTTGAGTGATTTTTGGACCAGCAGATTTTATACATCGAGAAGCATCGATTTGCATACCACCCTCCTATGCAATTAGCAGATTTTATTTCACACTGGACACGTACGCGTTCAGTAGTACGATTCATAACAAGGAAGTGAAAACAAGGAAGTAAACAAGCGCAAAAAGCAGAATAAAAGCTAGTGTCCGCGAAGATTCCCGTGGGGGTTCCGGTGGGGGTAGTGAAAACAACAGAAATAACAAAACAATACTAAAATCCATACTAATTCAACATAATGACGTCGTCAGCGTCTTCGTCCTGGTGACTGCTGGCGTCCATGTCCGATTCGGATGCCGAATCTCGGATGGCGTCGTCATCGTCTTCGTCCATGTCCGATTCGGATGCCGAATCTGGGATCACGTCCACGTCGTCATCATCCGACAACAACCAAGTGCGGTCTACAAAGGTCCCGAATACTTATACGAAGCTTAAAAAAGTAACGTAATAAGGAGCAGTTACCTGAATCGGCCATCGACGCATCGTCATCCTCTTCATCCCCGTCGCCTTTGTCCGACCCTGATTCGAAATACATAAAATTTTCTGAGTAAAACATTTTTACTGAACTTACCGAAAACCAAGGAACTGGAATAACAAGAAAATTTTCTCACCTTCCATTTCTTCATCGCTGTCGCAGTCGGTCTCTCCACCGTCTTCATCCCAGTGCATAACCTGCGGCACGGCATCGATGAGCTGGCGGTAGTGGGTGCGGTTCACGCTGTTGTAGCCAAGGTCCACCGCGTAAAGGGCCGGCAAGTCTTTCAAAGGCTTCAGAATGTCGTGGCTGGTGATCCCGTTGTTCGCCAAAGTGAGCCGCTTCAGGTTCGGTGTCGCGGTTGCCAGCAACTCGAAATTGGGTGTGTCCGGGTTGTATCCCAGCTGGTTGTCGTTGAGCTGCAGTTGGGTCAGGTGGGGCAGCGGTGGCAGTCCAAGGACCGACTTCACTCCACAAAAATTGGCCGACAGGCAACGCAGATTCGTAAAGCGCAAGAGCGGCACGTCGAGGAAATCGCTAAAAGGAAATTCATCGAGGATGATGGTCTTGGCGTCGTCGGGCTGGTCAGCCAAGTACGCGAACATGTTAATCGTAGTATAGATAGGAGAGCGAAACATTGTGCAGATGAGGAATAGTATACGGTAACCAAAAGTACAATACTACACACACTCAACAAGTGCACAATACTGTGTAAGTATACAACAATAATTAAAAATTATCATGAATACCAGTACAGTGTACATTGCGTTATATACGTAGAATTTCCTGTGCAAAGTAGCTCAGTTCGGAAGACAAAGACAATTTCCACGATTTGCATACGAGCCGTTGCATAGGAGGCTCGTATGCAATAATCGGATAGTAAGTAACTGTATGCAAGCGGTGGTTGACGGCCATGTGTGCTAACTGCCACCCGCAAGCTGCTACGCCACCTGCACACCGTATCCCACCATACGCAGGACTGTAGCCATAGACATTTTCCCAATTATATGGGCTACAGTCCTTACTAGAATGGGCGTTTCCTATTAGGGACGGGACCTACGTGCTGCTGAGCATGCTATGGAGTCTTCTTCTGCTTGACCTTCGGAAACGGCACATTCTCATCACCCAGAGGCAAGCGTACGTTCCTAACGCAAAGGAGGACGAATTTCCGATGAACTGTGGCTATCTCGCATACCGCTTTATAACCACACTCCATAACACTGTCACTGCGGAAGTTCGGTCCTTGGCGCTCCTGCACGACCAGGAACACCATGACGTGAGGCGCGAGATGGATACCAATTTATCGACTATGCGTCATCTTCTGCAATCGAAAGGCCTCCGCCTACCTCTGATTATAATAAAAAACAGCTGTGCTTCCGTTAAGCTGCCATTTTTCTTGTACTGGGACATCTATTCCAATAAGTGCAATGGGTCGTTTGAATGTAGCGCTTCGAAAGAACTGCTGAGAGTGTGCGATCTACTCGTCCTGATCAACTACCCTGCGTGGAACGTTTTCGCCGAAGTAGCGCGGAGAATACGGCTGGCGCTACCGGCAGCCGAGAAAGTCTTTCTGTACGAAGATAAAGCTCTGTACAACGATAACTTTGTCAGGTGTAATTTGGATAATATGACGAATGCGAATATTCCTTGTTTGTGCATCCGTTCTACGGCACGCCGGTTGATCAGTGGCGCAATTTGTTAGCCGCGACCAACGCCAACTGCACGCATGTCGCCGGGCGGATCTATGGGAAGGTAGCTGCGCTTCATCGACGCTGGGTGCAGACATTGGCATATCCCCATGAATGGACTGGCATCCGCACCTTTTTTCGACTGTGAGTCACTGAGTATCATAGTTATCTTGTTATTTTATATCATAAATGTAATACTTTTTATGTTAAACGCTGTATTGAGGTATTCTCCTGTGTATACCAGGTCGACAACCCGAAGTCTGTGTTGCGGTGAATATTAATGGGAAATAGCCCTTCGGTGTTTTGGTCTACGATATTAGGCTAATTCCCGGTTTGCCGCTCTTTTGTCTGACTATTCTAAAATATGTATGCTCTTTGATCAAGAAATGCTCTTTGATCAAGAAAGTATTGATTAATGGAGTGGATTTAATTAGGAAATCAGCGGGGAGAACATTGTCAGCAACTCCCGTATGTCGAACACACAGTAAACGTTGATTTAACCAGGTTTGAGGGCTTCCGGGACACGGATAACTCACAACACTGGGACACGATGGACCTTCGCCAATTGAACATCTCCGATTTGATCCATGTGACCTTGATAGCACTGGATGCATGTTATGCCAGCTGAAGCTGCCTTTAGTTCGATGATTTTCGGGACGGTGGAAGTCTTGTACTTGTAGCACCGATTACTCTTAATGACGGTGTGGTTTTTCTGTTTTTGTCTCTTGCCGCGTCTGTTTTTCCTTATATCATGTCCTAAGAATACTTTAAAAGCCTTTTTTACCTTTCGGTATGCGCAGAAAGTGCATCCGGAGTGAAGATCCAAAACTCGGCCGAGCAATAACGCGGTAATTCATAGAAACATTGTTGTCTTAGCGTTTTTTTAATGCTTTTTCCAATAAAGCTTTTTCTAGTAGAGCTTGAACTTCCTTGTTGAGGTGCGTATGCCGCCTGGACGATCAAACTTTAACCTGCAATTGTAGCGAACTGGCACAGCATCTTATGGCCTGCCTAGTGGTGAACAGACGCACACTGTTTTCTGAATTAGTTATTAGCGTATACGTTGCATTCCCGAAAATGTTTTTACATGCAGAGAAGCTTTCTATTTCCAGTAATGAGCTGAATAATTGCATTTTATTTGCATTCCAGTTTCATATCAGCTTGCAACTGCCGTCCCGCTACATTTCTGATATTATTTCTAGACCATCTTCTTCAGATAATTATGGGCCATGGCCAAACTCCTCAACGGCAAAACAACAACTTGGCAGGCCGGCAAAAGGGCAGCCAGTCAGGGCGCAGGCAACGCTAAGCTGGTGTTGCATTGTTACGTTTGAAGCTTTAAGTTACCGAACGACCAAATGACCAAACCATGCAAAGGTTGCGCAAGAGGCCGAACGGATAAAGATCCGGCAGTATGCCACACATACTGCAATAACGGCATACATATAACTTTCAATGTCTTTCATTGAGTAATCCTGTTGGTCCTAGGGTAGTGCACCAAATTTTGATTTGATTTATTCAATAGTATTGAACAACACATTTCGCTTATCGCTGTGTATTGCATTAATAAAACTATGCGAGTGTTTCTGCGGTTTAAGTTTACGTTTTCTGCAGCAATTCCACTATGAACGGAACAAAACGGTACTTTCGTCAGCTGTACTCTACTGCACGCGAGGTGCACTACGGAAACACAGTGCTGGTGCAACGTGACAGCGGCCAATGGTGGCTGGGATACGTTCAGGATATTGACGGCGATCATTTCTCCATCGACTTCGATGCCAGCAGCGTCCCAGCGGAATGGATTCATTCTCGACACCTATGGCCGCATCACTGCATCCACAATTTCTCCGAAGTACCTACAGGCGCGACCCTGCAAGTGGCGGTGTCGGACAGCAACGGCGAGCCTATGGTGCTTCGGCCATGTACAATCGCGAACACCTTGTGTCATATGTTCTGCGTTGTGAACGTGAGTAACGGGACTAAAGACGGCGAGCGCGTACTGTCGGCCGGCTACCGCATTGTGCATCGAAGTCAGTTTGTCACACAAGTGCCGGTGTCCGGTGATGGGGGTAGTTTGTTTGGGGGAAGCACCGAGATTTGCTATAAAAAGCATGCATTCCGCTTCGAAAAACCCAGCTTGTGTCGCAATATAGATATCATACCCAAAATTCTGATTAACAGTTGTCAGTTAAGGCTGGGTCCTCGTGACCTGAAATGCGGTGAAAATTGTCGGTTCGAAAAGTGTGTGTGGCTTGGCACCACTTATTTCCACTGTCCTGATCACTTTCATCGTTACTATGAATTTAATTTCGGTTGTCGAGCGTTTGCACGAGCGGGATGTGACACGATCACTTTTATCTGCGCCGAAATCCACGGCGACCCGGAAGGTCGCAGTATGTTTTGGACGGAGGACTCCTTGAAAGAGGCTTGCGAGAAATATCTCAGCCAGCAGCCAGCGGTACAGTCAAAACTGTTCACCACTGTCGAGGCTCGTCGCGGACTCATTGGTACTTTCGAATATGGTCAGTTCGAGTTAAACTAAATCGCAGAAAATGTGCGCATGGAGAAAACGCTACCTTATACTGCTTCACCGAGAACTTTTCGTAGCTTGATTAACTTGAGAACATTACAATATATCTGGTGGTCGTTACAGATGAGGAGGAAACGTCCATAAATGATCTTCCGCCCGTAATTCTGACTTGTATCCTGCTTAATTTGGATGTGGACACCCAAATACGAATACACCGGCAAGTTACTTCGGATCGGTTTAATATTCCTTGGTTTTCTTATCGCTTTACGACAATAACGGTCTCCAGTCAAATTCCCATCCATTTACACCACCGGACTAAAAACCTTTGACAGCCGCGCATGAAAATAGTCAGCTAGCCGATCGTAATGGTTGCTTCAGCAGTTTTGACTACGCTAAAACTCCCGTTTTTAACCCGATCAAAACTTTCGTGGGCGATAAAATGTAACGTAATTACATCCTCACACTAACCCGTAAGCAACATTTTATTTCAGATCTATCCTAGCCTTCTGTGAGCTTATGTTTTCTTGCTTGTGTGACTAACTTTAAGTTCGTTTGAGATTTATTTTTCGTCGAGGGGCGAGAGTCGAAAACAGTATATCTGCTCGTTTACAGAGTGTGCGCTCTGTGGAGGCTTGTATTGATTAACAGCCGCAAACGGCACATCGTTATTGCCCACCGCCCCACATACGCCAGTCGCCAGTGCAGCCGCGAGTATCCCGTTGACTTTTATTATGGCGCATACCATTTCATAACCACGCTCGATAACACCATCAACGAGCATGTTCGCTCGGTGGCCCTTCTTCAAGACCAGCGAGAAAACTCAGCCGAGATCGATCTGGACAGCAAAATGCGGACGGTGAATACCGTTTTGCAAGCCAAAGGCATCCGCTTACCGATTGTCATTGTGAAAAACAATGATCCCAGGGGCCTGCCGTGGTCCTTGCTCATACACTTCGGTCGCAGCCAATACAGTGGGGCGTTCGAGTGCTGCGGGCCAAAAGAGTTGATGAGCGGATGTGAGAAGATGGTGGTGCTCAGATACCCTGCGTGGGAAGTCATCGCCGAAGCCGCAAAGGAAATATTACTCCGGGATGTCGGTTCGACGCTGCCGGCAAGTGAAAAGGTCTTGCTTCAAACCGATATTCAGCTTAGCCTGGGCGCTGTTCCTTCTGTCCACTTCCGCTCTGCCGACACGCCCCTCGATCATTGGCGTAGTTTACTGGCTGCGACCAACGCTACCTGCACGCATGTTCCCGAACAAATATTCGAAAAGGTTAAAGTTATGCATAGGCGCTGGGTGCAGACGTTGGCCTATCCCAATGAATGGACAAACATCCGCACCTTTCTTCGGCTGTGAGTAAAATTGTTTTGTATTAGATATTTTGTACACCCGCAGTGTTGCAGAATAATGGAATGTCCCGAATAAGACCACTGGATGTAGATTTATTCATAGAAGGTGGTACCAGGGAGAATATGGTTGAAATATATAAGATAGGACTAGAGACCAGATCCTGGTTGTCCAGCGAACACCCAGCCGCCGCCTTAACACACAAAAAATATTTTTGCAAACTCTTTAGCGGAAATTTTAATTATATGCAATTAACTAATTGCCATTCTGCATAAATCTCATGCAGAGCGGTAAGTCTTAGCTTTAAGAATTGATTTGCGCAAGAGTTTATTTTTCCAGTTCGGGGCCGAACTAACAGAATACCTATGAGTAACAATTTGTCTAAGATAACTCATAACTATGCATATACACAGCAATTGGTTATCCAA